TGAATCCGTTTCTTTATTTGTTCCTTGTCTTGCAAGAATGTATCCCGGACTCCGCAATCGTTTAGTCTCAGTTGACTTTTTTGTGTTAAACGTCTGACTTTATTTCCCTCTATTTTCTTCCCTTGCCTCGGTCTCAGTTTATTTAAGCTTTATTTGTTCTTTGTCGTTTCATTCCTGTTTTACGTTTTTAGTGTACAAATGATTGTCAACCCTATTCTGTGACTCTCCGTTCCGTCTCAAAGTTCCTACATTATTGTCTCACATTCACATCTCGCTCTCTGTGTGTATCGATCCTCCACACTGACCTCAATTCACATACAAGCTGTCTTTCATGCCCACCTGAAATGCGCCCATCTTGTACGTTACGGATAACCGAATGATCACTTCATCCCCCCCGACACACACGCAGTTTCGGGCTGCTCTAATTTGATATGGTTTTGCACTGATTTCCATCTTGTGTTTTCTTCCCTGTTAGTTTCTACCGTTGCTCTCAATTGGGTATGAAATCAATATTCACCGGTTCCCCTAGCCACCATTTTCATTCTCGTTCTTCCGTGTAACCATAAATGAACAGACAGCAGCAAAAAACACCGGTGTTCTCCGTTTCATAGTGCACATCATCGACGGACAGCCTCCATCCCCTCACTATTTCTGCGAACAAGTTGTACATCAAACCTCGTGTTTGCTATGGTTTGTATATGCTCTCCCCTCCAATGTACCCTCCTCAAATTAATGCCTCCTTCACTCTGATGATCGCTCCTGGACGTCTCATTCATTCATCCACGCACACGGTTTTATCGGTTAGACTCGATCCTTTATGCCAGTGTTCTACGTCTCCATCCGTCATATTGACATAACCACTGATCTTCTTAACCCTTCTTTTCTGAAACACAAGGTACATTTGTTCTTAATAGTGCAACATTTCTCAATCTGTCATTTGCTTTTTTTTGCACCGTTTTACCGAACTGTTCATCTATTTGAATCATCCCCGTCGCTGAATTGTCCCACGTGATCATCGGTATCGTTGTTCCATCCAGACTGCTGTTCTGTTCCCTAGTCTCTTCCTACCGGCGCGATAGAAGCTGGGGAGATTTGCTTTCCATGTGTACATAGTATATGCGCGCTTCCCTGATCGTTTTCTCCCAATTGAGCTCCTTAGGCAAACACATGTTTCTGAGTCATATTTCTCCCCCTTGCATCATCATTATGATCTGTTCAGGATATCCGTTCGGTTCAACGTGGATGCCACTGTGAACTTACGGACTGCAATCTTATCCATTCAATTGTTCTGTTCCTTCACTTTCCTATTCAATGTGAACTGTCTTGTCCGAAAAAATTCCTGATTGTTTTTTTTTAAACTGTATTACTTAACAGTGCTTCCTTCTTTATCGGATCCCATCACAGTTCACACCCGGTCCTGAAAAACTGTCACAGATGCAACAATCCAAGCTCTGTCCCCTTTTTGCCCCGGTTTCGGGTTCTTGTTGACTCTCCTCTCTCGTTCGTTCGCTCGCTCGCCCTTTTTCCTTCTGCCCTCGATTGTTGTCTGTTTCATGTGAGCACCCCGTGGCGGGGATTTCCCGGGATATAAACACAGGCACCAGAATCCACCGAATGGTCCGGTCTAAATTGTTGGCTTTCTCATTTTTTTTTTCCATTTCTTATCATGATATCATTCAGCCTTGTCTTGTCGTTTTTATTCTCGAATTCTCTATACGAGAGAGGTTAAGAAGGCTCACGGAAAAAAAGCACAATGGTGACCTATAAAGAATGAGATAGCAGTAGATAGATGGCATTAGATATTTTTTTCCGTTTCGTACTCCCGTCTCCCTCCAAAGGGGCTGAGGGTTTCTTCTTTCTAATCTGGGGACGCAAACCGGTTGGCATCAGTTTTTCTACTCCGGTCCTAATGGCCACCGACCCTCTGCTATTTTGTTCACCTTTCGAGAAGATGAATTTTCTTGTAGAACAGTCAACCGGAGTTTTCAGTTTGCCAAAGCCAGACTCGCCGGGCAGCGGGAGGTATGTGAAAACAGCAATGCGCCGGTGTCCATTTCATCGGATCATACGCTCTTCGGACGGGGTCGAACGTCCAAAGTGCCAATGACGAATACCACAACCATGTATGTGTAAGTGAGTGTGGTTGGTTTGGAATCAAGCTTTTCACCAAACTCCCCTAGATGAACTACTGGTGGTCCACTAACCAGATTAGTTCTGGATGTCGGTTTTTTGTCCTCTCACTTTTGTAAGAAAACATTGAGTATCGGTGCTTCCTCGGCATAGGCTATTTGAGACACTTGGCCGTATAAGAGCATTTCGCGAAGTGCAACGGAAGAATGGCTATCCCCACACCGGCCTGGAGCAACTGTAAGAAATATGAGAATCGCAATCTCGACCAACTGAATTGGAGCCTCGGCTTTAGCGGCCTCTATTGGAATTGAGCCAGAAATTGGAAATTGAATTCGAGTTACGATCCTACTTCCTTGCATTTTCTTAACAAGTCACAAGTGACCTTCCGTATGTTGCTATGTCGAAATTCCCGTGTTTACTTGTTTAAGTGGATAACCGCGGAACGTTTGTGTTACGTGAGAGTGTGATGATGATCATTTTCCGACGACAAGGTGTATCAAGTTCAAAATGGAAAGTCGTCGTTTCGTAGAATTACATCTGCACTTTATCTACTTTAGGCAACCTAACGTATCGCCCTAGTATTGTAGCGAGAAGGCGAGCTGATTGGGAAAACGTTTATTGATCCAATTCAAAAACAACTGGTGTATGCGTCCAATTATACATATTCAATTCTTAACCGCGCGCCAGAATGATTCATGCCTCTTTCTGTTGATCAATCCCTGCTGGTTTTGGTCCGCACTTGACACGTACGTTGCCTCTTCTTCCGCGTGCCGTTCCGACTGGTTTGACCCGATCGTAGCGCGAGATACGGTGATCGACAGCTCCGACGTTGTGGCATTCGGTGGATACCTTTCTGGCTGGATGCGGATTGTCTGTCGGGCTGTAATTGTTGAATCGTTCGTTTCTGGTGGTAGTCAACATTGTCTCTCGAAGTACTTCCAGCCGCTACCTCTGCTTGGATGGCCCCATTCCTGATTCTCTTTGTATCACCTTTTATCACAGTCTGACAGGGGAATCATTTCTCTTTTAATACATGGATCAAGAACTATTTGTTCGAACCATTGATCCTCACTTGCGCCGAAATCCACGTGATGCTTCACCTGGTGAGGTCTTGAAGATAGGCCAGTAGCGATCTGAATTCACAAATGTTCGCGTTGCCATAGGTCAAATCATCGACATACATCAGTTGATAGACTTGCATTGCTCATCTCTCACCTACCACTGGAGGGCGCACTAGTTCTAAGTGTTCACCGTTGCAGTATGTTGATCAAGTACGTAAAAGCTATTCAAACGACTGCACACAGCCGTGTGGTCAACTAAGCCGGTGATTCAAGGCCAGGAGCTGTGTTCCACGATGGTGTTCATTTTTTTCGCCTCTCGTATTCAATTTATTTTTGCACTCACTGGAGAGATGGTACTCGTCCGTCAGACTGCTATATGTGGTTCTGGTATGAACAATTCAACTTCAACCTGGTTTCGATTGGTGCATCGTGCTTTAAGTGTTGGTGTAGAGAATCTTTCTTGAGGGATATATCTCTGAACAATCCATTGGTATGAGCGCTGTATGGTTGGTCTGCTGAAAAGCAAAAAATCGTTCCTTTTTTATTCGTTCCCATTCAGCTCACAGCTTCCAGTTTGCAACGTCATTTCTCCAGCGCACGTATGCATTATTAGATTACCCCTAAAATGTCTGCTGAATTAGCTCTCTTGCATGATTCACCAATGTGATTAACCTTCGCCCCCTCCCGTCCTTGTGCCTTTTGTTTTCTATAAATGAAAAGGGTTCGGCAGATCTGGTTGATTGCGTAACAATAGCATACTCGAATCGATACCAATTAGTTGCATTCTTCTGACAGGATCGGACGATTGTGGTTTCATCAGTCAGACAACAGTAAATCAGGTCGATTGAATTGATGAACTGCAATTGGAAGCATAGTTTCCCCGTAACGAATTGGAATGAAGAAGCCCAAAACACGGGTTTGCATAATGTATCCCCTGGATCATCTGTTCGCTGAATCTGTGCACATGCACATTACTGCAATCTATATGATCATTAATATATGGTAAGTAAATGACAGAATCATAGGCGGAGAAAGATTATGGTCAAAATTACTCACCACACACATTTGTTACCAAGGTAACGTCAGAGTGATTAGCAATTCACGCTGTTTATACAGTTTCGGATGTTAATTTTGGTCTGCAGTATGCACGTGTACAAATGCAACGAAATGATCCGGACCTGCAATTATCGAGAGCTCCTGAATGGGGAGTGACCCTTCGTGAACTATTAAACCAAATACGTGAACTGTACAAACGGCGATTTTGAGAACATTGCTCATGGCTTCTGCTCACGATCAATCGATTTGCATCGGAGTATTTATGTATGTATGTATGCATGTAGGTAGATATGTAAGTATTATATACGTATGTGGTTGTGTGCGTGTGTTTAGTTGAGTTTAGTTTATCTAACCAATAATCATGAACAATCCTACGGTAGCTTTTATTGATTTATTTTGGCTACTCATTTGAATGAGTAAGTGAAGTAAACGCTGGAAGCAGTGTCCATGTGAAATGGAGGAGCCAGGAGATCTTGGTTGAAAAGAAACTGAATAGATGCCACCACTGAAAACATTCAGCCAAATCACTCAGAGTCTGCAATCATCGGTTACGCTGATCCCGAGGTCACCACCCGGGAATCCTGACTCAGATTTATGGTCAAGTCTTCTGCTCAGAGTTTTCAGACCCTCTTTCCGGATCACCGTTTGATCACATTTTCCGCCCACAACCAGTATTGAGAAACACCGCAAGTCGGGGAAGCCGAACAAGTGAGACGCGTGGCATTGATGATGTCACCTCGGTTGGTGTGATGAAACGTTTACATACAAATTGCCAAGATCGGCGAACAGCCTAAATGGAATTTAGTTCATCCGAGCTACGAGAACCGATTTTCATATGTTTTAGCTAACACAATCTTTGAAAGTCGAGTACACAATCAAGTGGGCTACTCAGATCACACTTAACCCCATCAGAACAAGTCGGTTTTCGCCTCCAGGCTAGCGCAGGCGGGGTAGATAACACCGTTCGAAATCCAAAAGTATATTTTGTCCTGTCCTGAAGCTACCGTAGGTGTCGCAAATCAGCAGTCACAATCGGAGCCTTTCGCGTGCGTTCTGAACCTTCATCTGATATTTGTTCACTAGATTTAACGTTACTGTCCAAACAGCAAAATTTATCCACTATACATGTTATTTTCCCAGCTTAGGTGACATCTGGCGCTGGACCAACATATTTCTACGGAAAAGTTTTCAGAGTAATATCAGTCACAATTGAACAGGAGAGTAGGTTTAAAGCCTTGAAGAACTCCACTTTCTGTGATGAATTCGAACGAAGAAAAGTAGTGAGCTGGAATTGTGGTTTGGCTATTTTGCATATACAGAATTTCAGCTATTGAGAGATACCTCTCCGGCGCACTCCTCATGGGAGGATAACCCCAGAGTACAATGCAGCCAAATAAAACGAATATCATCTTTGGACCAAGGAAATCCGATGGGCTTATCTCTGGGCTAGAGGATGTGATCAAAAGTGAAAATATGATCAATACAATCTCGGCCAAGTCTAAAACCACCGTTGACGTGCTACAGACAATCCACGAAGCATAATGTCAACAAGAACTTTGCAGAGGATGTTGAATAGACTAACTCCTCCCTGGTTTTCGCAATAGAATCCATCACCTTCCCGGTCATAAGTGCGATTTCTGATACATCATCTAGTTGGGACTTTTTTCACTTTCCAATACTGAACCCCGGTCTCTCCGATCTGGTTAGAACCTTGGTCCTTTGAAGCCGTTGGAGGATAACCCAATTCAGACCAGAAGTCTTATGAATCTCCTCCCTTCCTGAGGGTAATGGAAAATTTGTTTTGATTATGTGGCGGATTTCCTCGTGTACAGAGCAAATGATGTGTGAACTGAACATCTAAAAAGGACTGGATAGGTGTATCAATCCGATTCGGTCGCATCAGCAGTGTGAATTCATGGACACAACTGGGGATTGAACCGAACGGGCCTCCACTGTATACCATCCACCTGACCAGGGGGTAGGTTATCAGATTATTTCTCCTTTTGCCTATATACACACGATTGTGTATACTTTGAGTTCCCAGATTCGGTCCTCAAATTGTGACGTTTAACTTGCACTGATGATAACACCCAGCGCCAGTTATTCAGCACTTCTTGGGGTTTAGGTTCACCTTTAAGTTTGCTCTCTGCTCGAAGAAATTCACCCGGTAAATTATTTCTCTGGTGGCTCCTGTTTCAGAAGAAGATTTGATATTAGCCACAAGCAGAAGCATGAGGTGACAAGTTTCATATCGATAAAGACTTTTTGAACTGTACCTAAACATATTATCCCCATGACTGAAGTTGGGGTTGCTGAATATGAATCCGCCTGCCGTCAGACTCCCTAATAACTTCAGTTGTATATCTACCTTCCGCGGTTCTATTTTCCTAATTAGGTGGAAGTGATTGCTACTCTTATAAATGGTGGCAGCCTTCTCGAGATCTGTTCCGATTGCTGCGCACTGCTTCTCGTGGTCATTCCTCAGGTACTTAAATAACTGGCTTTGAAGGCATTTGCGCGCAGAGTAAAAATTAGTTTCCGTAGGAATTGCGCTGTGCGTTTCCATTGAAACTTATGACACCGTGATCGATTTTAATACATCACTGAGAAGATTTCGGCGGTTTTCATGTGAAACGGTGTCTATTCTTGTGGCAGACGTTGGTGTTCGAAAAGAACAGTTCGTTGAAGTACACGATCTCTGTTATCTTTTGGTTAGCTGCATAGACACCTCTGTGATTTACCCAGGGATCCCACACTTGGGTTGAATTTGACAGCGTTTATCACGGTGTCTGCTGAGCGAAACTTTTGAAGCTATCCAGACGGTCCGTGTGAATGCATCTTCCGTTTCAGGTGAACTGCACAATCCATACGCCTGGATAACTGCGGTCTTCGGATGCCAAAATGGCCTGAAATGCGAGGGATAAAGTGGGAGAATACGCTTGGGTGTGAGAACATGTTTTACATGCTCGTTTTGGAGATACAGTCTACGAGTAACTTGTAAGTTTCATGGTTTCTGACTGTGGTAGGTTAATCTGGTAGAGTGTCCTGACATTGAATGGTAGGCCTTCGGATTTTGGTTCGGCTTGTTGTTTGTTGGTGCTTTTATTGTCGGTCCGACGTTCGGGACTTAGCCCTATCCCCATGCATAGAGTGAAACAGGCTGGAAGTGGACGGGACAGAATCCTATTTGCTTAGGGGCTGTCTAGCTTGGACTCTCTGCAGCTGTTCCATCAATTACGAAA